GGGAAAAAAGCCCGAAAGACTGCGCAAAGATGATGATGTGGTTTCTCTTTAGGGGTCGATAATGTAATCATTTGTTGTGTGTGTGTGTGTGTGTGTGTGTGTGAGTGCGCTTGTAAATATGTGAGTGTGAATCCGTCTCCTTGACAACTGAGAAGACATCTGTCATCTCCATATGGAGAGAACCAGAGATGGAGACTCAAAGGAGAGACAAAGTGGAAAACACAATGCATAAAATAATCAGTTACACAAAATGACAAATAGAATATGAAACACCACAACTGAGACTCGGGAGAGAGCGTCATTTTACTCATACAGTACGTGTTGTTCAAAACAGCAGGACTTATTTTTACTTTAACATTTAGAAAATGACAGATTTTTATAACTGTCATTTGTTTGCAAGCAAACAGTGAGAAAGATGAAATAAGAAGAAAAGATCATAAATCAGATCCAAACCCCAATACTGAGACTTTTTGGAATCAAGATCAACGGCAAACTACTCAAATATTGGTGGATGATCATTTAATTTCATTATATTATTCTAGCAAATATTTTTTCTCAGTGTTTTTCTGGCTAAATGCTTGTTCATGTCATCCTGGATTCATTTCACAAGTAGCATTTTACGACATCTCATTGTAACTGATTTGGCACGAGAGGGTGGGTTTGGGTCTCATCTGGTGTTTAATATGAATGCCACACACATATTTTCACACATACTTAAATTACATAGTGACGGAGAGCCAAACGGTTGCAGCACATGGCAGATACCCGGAGCGTCCCTGGTTCAGAACGGGCTTTTGTTGCCCCCTTGTTTCTGTCTGCATATTCAATACCAACTGTGCAGTAAATTTGAAAAGCGTAAAAAAAAAAGACAAAAAAAATTATAGCTCATTCTGTCGCACACGTATGCAAATATACACACATGCAGAAATTGATGGATATGAGCTCATAGACACAATCAGCACACCCGCTTGTGGTGCAGTCCGCTGGTGTGTGATGCAACACAATCTCACACTCACACACACATGTACACAAAGCAGGACAGGACAAGTGAGGTCCCCTTCTTTCTCTCTGTGTGGTAATCGACACTGTTGTTTGATGTCTGTGTGATTTTGTCCTCCAAACTCATTCTTTTTCTAGCAGTGAGGACACACACACACACACACACACACACACACACACACACACAGAGTCAGTGAGCCTCTCACTCAAACTGTGGAGGAGGGGGCACTAAAAACTCATTACATGGACGATCAATATTGCACACACTTGAGAAGCAAGTGTGTGTATGTGTGTGTGCGCCGCCGCCTGCATTCGCAACACACACACACACACGCACACATGCACACACACGTTCCATCAACTGCTGGCAACGGTGACAGATGACTTTTGTCAGCCTGAGATGTGTTACCGTGGTAACCATTAGGTTACATTTTGGTATGGCACAAGCAGGCAGACGCACAGACACACTTTACACACCAGTAGACACATTTAGATAAACTGGTCAAGGTCATGATAAAATACTACAGCTCAATATTTTAGCACATTCCAGTACTTTGTGGACTCCCTCGCATTCATCCCAGAACAAAATCACTTTAAGTCGTTTCAGTAGCTGGTTTGCAGTCGTGCTGCCAAAACAAACTCAGCTGCCGGTGAAAATGTTTAAAGTCCCTCTCCGGTCATTGAATAAACATATAAAAACGAAAATTCTACCTGTTACGGTTTTAAAAAATCCACGTTACTACGAGAAACAACGACGACAACCTCCAGAAAAGCTACCTAGCACAAGCAAAGCTAAAGTTTTGTCATGAATTTGGATTGTGCGGCTCATTGTGCAACCCTGCTTTTAGCGGATTATCACTTGATCATGTAACATTGTCATTGTAATGACATGCCGGTTCGCGTCCCGGTGGGGGCACCGGAATCTTTCTGCATGGAGTTTGAATGTTCTCCCCGTGCAGCGTGGGTTCTCTCTGGGTTCTCCAGCTTCCTCCCATACAGTCCAAAAACATGTTGAGGTTAATTGGTGATTCTAAATTGTCCGTAGGTGTGAATGTGAGTGTGCTTGGTTGTCTGTCTCTAAGTGTAGCCCTTTGATAGACTGGTGACCTGTCCAGGATGTCCCCTGCCTTCGCCCTAAGTCGGCTGGGATAGACTCCAGCCGCCCGCGACCCTAGTGAGGATTAAGCGGTGTATAGATAATGGATGGATGGATTTTAATGACAGTGCTTGTCTCCCTGCATGTAAATGTGCCACCTAAACGTTTCCACAGTCACTATTTTGAAGGAACACCAAGGCTGCATCCTTTGCATAGCCCCGCCCAAGACGATGGTGAATGATTTAAAAAAGTACAAACAAGCCAGAGTGGCTGTTTGTCTTTTTAGCCCTGATAGCAGAATGATGATGTGGTGCAGCCAGACCAATCTGTTCTACAGAATAGACTGACTGAAGCCGGGTTTATGTTTGATGCGGCATTTTAGCAGCCACGCCCCCTTGCGTGGTCCTTTCAAGGGGAAAATTTTCACGTCGTGCACCTCCAAAAATTTGTAACAATGCGGATGGAGACGTGTGGAAAACATGGCGGACAAACAGGAGCTCCTAGTGGTAGAGGTACAAAAATACAGGCAGTCATATGAATCTTCACACGGGGATCACCATGATAACCGTTTGATGAACAATTCATGGCGTGAAATTGCAGCCACACTCCGTAAAGGAGAAGAATGGGTGAAGAAAACCTACGGGACAGATACGTTAAGGCACAAAAGAGCACCAAAGAGCGAAGTGGAGACCCAGGGGGAAGCCAAAATGTTGGCTCTCATCTTTTATCAAGCACAGGGAAAGTGACTCAAATTTCCCTCCAGATGAGACAAATCTATTGATAATTATATCTGAGCAGAAAACAAACTGCTAAAAACTGGGGGGAAAAATGGACTTTAGCCTTGTGCTGAATGTGCCGTATTTACTGTAACCTTGTGTAAACCACGAGCGTGTCACCATGTTGCAAGCGACGTAAGCAATGCCAAACTTCTTCTACTCCAATTTAGTTCTGTGGTATACGTGTGTTTGCGACACACTGCCCCCTGCAGTTTGGTAATAGACGCCATGCGAGTATACAAGCCACACGCGTTTTCTCGCGCTGATTCCACGCATCTCATTTCTGCGCATCACGGTTGTTCAGAAAGCATAATCCAGCCTTAAGGGAGACTGCATAGTTAGATGTTTTGTTTTGTTGTTCTGTGAAAAAAACTCCCTTTCTACTTTAAAATAGCTGAGATCTACAGTAACTCTACATCGCTTGCATCCTCTAGAATGTGCAGATCCACGAAGCCCCCGCCTCTCTTTCCACCCGGCCCATTCCACTTCCTTTAGCTCGAGCACACCAGCTCACCTCCGATTCTGCTCTAACACTGTAAAACTGCTCTGGCATGTTCCACTTGGACATGAAGTATTAAGGATATGGAAAGTTTCATGCTACAAGCTGACAAGACTGGATTCTTCAGGTTTTTTACGAATGAAACTGCAAAAGACTGAAGTCATATTTCTGAGAGTGTCATCAGTATAAGGTAGTTTCTAGGTGAAAGTGCAAAACCATAGTGTGAAGTATTTGTCTTCTAGAATATAAAAAAAAAACACCATATGTTACAGTAAAAAACTTAAACTGAAAATCAAAACTCTTTTTTTGGAATATTGTCAAAATTAAATGACATATGCGTACAGTATATAAACATATACTTGCACAAGTCAGTATTCTGTGGTATTTTTAGATATGTTTGCAGGTTACTTTTTGGTAGGTTGAGTGTACGGTTTCTATACAAAATTGCCGCTATTTTTTTTCTAGACAAGTGTAAACTTCATCTGCAAAGCCAGAACCAGTTGAAAGATGACATTTTGTCCCATGCACCAGTTTCATCATGTCAGACTACCAGCACCTGCTAACTATTTTTCTTCCCTAAATTTGCCCTGAATGTGCTCCTGAGATCCAGGGTTGCTGGGTGGGAAATCCGCTCTGGCAAGCTGGGCGAAGTGTTAGGAAACATTGATTAGTTTGTGTGGAAGCCAATTTATTGCCACGAGGAGCATTTTTTGTGGAAATGTTTGATATTGAATTGTGGTGTTTGGATTTGTGTGTTTTGGTTTGTTTTGGTTTGATAAGGGGGAGTGTGACGCCCCCTCCCACTGTCTTGAAGGTGGTCTTAGCCTCCCTGAGAGACCAAGTGACTGACATGTGAGGGTCTTCCCACGGTTTGGCCGATATGGCATGGCATATGTATTCACTTTGTTTCACTCTCATCCACCTGACATTATCCATCTTCCACGTTTGCATCCTGATCACCTCCACAGCACACATGATGACGCACATCTTTTCACTGCTCGTGTCGATGATATTTCTGACTTCCACACTCCACTTGCTGTTTTGTGTTAGTTTAATTTCAATATATTTCATTTCATTTCGGCAAATCTCTTGCGTGTACTCTCTATTTGAGCCAGTTTGTGACACTAACCAAACTAAATCCTGCTGATCTTGGCCAAGCTATGGAGTCATGAAACGCGTAACTTGACTGTAGATTCATGTGTTGTGATCACACAGTTTTGCCTTCAGAGTTGACATCTATATAATAACAATAAACATTATACTACACCAAGTGTGTCTGACAGATCTGTTGTGGTAGATTACGTTGCATAAGTGGAAAAACTGTACAATTCACTGACAAGCATCAAAACAATGTGACAGCAGCGAATATTCTCAGAAACACTTTGAGGAGTTGTGACGTTGACTGGGTTTAAATTATTATAACAACACCAGATACCAAAGATAGGGATACAAGAGAATGAATGTCCAAAAAAAGACCCTAAAGTATGTCCTTTATACCAACAAAGTGGCACATACATACTATTTATGATGAAATGCGACAAATACAAATGCGCTATATAGCACTAAATGACCCTTGAGAGTCAGACTAATCTTTCTTAAAATTAAAAAAATGAAATATTTTCCCTGTTACCTTTCCAAGCCCGGGCGTATCTTTGATCTTATTGGCTGCACGGAGGAGGCAGGGTGGAGCCGGAGGAGGCGCCATCAACAGGGCGGAGCTGAAGTTGGTGGGGAACAAATGTGGGTCACATGACGACGACGACGACGACGTCACTGGGGCCGTCACCGCCGCCGTCTTCTGCTTCTTCTTCTTGGACGCTAAGTTCAGCTTTTGCGCAGCTCTGTCAGGGAGAAGCAGAGAAGAAGAAGAAGTTACATCCCAGCTTAATTACATCCTTATACTTTACCCAGTGCAACCCGGGCAAATATGCTAATTGCAAATAGAAGTCAATTACACACCCTTCAACACGCACAGACAGAGACGCACACGTACACATCGCTGTTTACATATGTAGCAACATCTGGATGGGGAGTGGTTCATTTCCCTCCTTGCTACTCAATTCCCTGCGGCACTGAGCTCGAAAGGAGCCACCAAAATGATATTTATATATACTTCATCTTTCCTGCGCTCAGATTGTCTTCGCTCCTCTTCCTTTAACTTCAACTTCTGGATCTCACTTCTTTCTCTGCTCCGTCTGTTCTTTTTCTCTCCTTTCTCACTTCAACACAGCAGGTTCTTTCTGTCTGCATCACTCAGCACCACAGCACTTCACGCCATTTTTAGTTTCTAACTTTTCTTACACCCTTTTATAACTTTCCTTCCCCAGAAGAAACACCTCATATCTATACCGCAGACTGAATTTCTGCTACTTAAAAAGATTGTATAGAAACGAGGAGACAGTTAACAAGAAGTTTTCTCCCCCTCTGTTGTTTTGTCTTTGTCTAGACAGTCACGGTCAAATCCAAGCGTTTTTCTACATGACTTTAGCTTAAAAACAAGAATATTTGCAGATGTATGATGAGAATAATTATGTCTTGACAGTGTGTACCCATCAATCTTTGTCAACAGATATTTCTACTCACTAGCAACAGAGCCTGTACACAATAGTAGTTTATAAACTAAATCATACATTATGTTTATTTCCCTAAACCCAGCTTATGTCATTACAATATACTGGCTGAGGACAAAGACAGAAGAGGTTAAGTGAAGGAAGACGAGTGAATCTGCCAGCAAGAATTCCCCTCAGTGATTTACTGTCTGTAGTTTAAAAAAAAATTCAATCTTCAGTCTGTGCGTCACTTTATCTCCTTCTGTGGAATTTGAGAAGCCACAATTGAAAGTGGCAGATTTCTTACCTGAACACGCAGCAGCAGCAGCAATATTAACAATACGATAAACTAAAAGAGCTCTAAAGCAGCTCTGGCAGGGGATTCCTGCTCTGCTCCGCTTTAATCTATCCTCACATATATTTCGGAGATTATAAAAAGAGAGAAAGAGAGACCTTGCGCCTTGACACACTCTCTGTCAAAGAGCCATATTCTCACACCATTGGCTTTCAATTAACTGCAGCAGGTTACAGAAATGAGAGCGAGGGAGAGAGTCAGCGAAAGTGGGAGAGAGAGAGGGAAACAGAGGAGTGGGGGAGGAAGAGAGATGTGGATTCAGTGACCCGTGGAACGACGAAACATTTCACCATTTGACTAGCTCTCCCAGGAGATTTGTGTGCGAATTTATGTGTGTTTGCGGCTGTGGATGTGTGCGTGAGTGCACACTGTATGAAACAGGCGTCCACAAGAGGACTAATTGGTTTTTCACTGTGTGCGAGCTAAGCTTACGTATTGCAGAAAATGCGATCAAAAGCAATTACCAGTTTTCTTAGTGTATCAATATAATGCTCAGAAGCTCCAGATTATAGAAAACCGTTGGCCAGGTGCAGAAATTTACATGAAAGCAATAACGGTGTTATTTATTTTCACTCTAAGGTAGCACAAGAGTTACTTTTTTTTATATATACAGAAAAGGAAGTTGAACTCTACCACTTGCTTTCTATGGAACATCTTACAGAAGAGGCTGCTGCAGTGCTGCTGACGGGTGCAGGAGGAGACGTGACAATGACAGATTCGTGCACGCTTCCTCTGCTGCTGGAGATCCCTACTTGTAGCATGCACACTTTTTCCCCACCACTGCTCACAGCTCAGCATTTTTTTTCCATTCTTCTGTACATATATTCGCTCAATGATGAAGTAGCTGCTCATTGGGCAACACATTTATACGGCTTTTTGTGTGATTGTTTTTAGAATGCGTCTTTCAAATCTATAAGCCGCCTCAGTTTCATAATAATTCAAGCTATGCATGTATTGATACGTGTGTATAGACACTATCACACCCTCTTATTATATTCACTCACCCTGACTGGTTTAATCTGTGGCACAACTGAAGCGTGGTAGAAACGCAAACACACACACACACACACACACAAACACACACAAACACACACACACAAGCCACCTAACTGGTAGCGTTTAATGACAAGTGGCCAGGGATTTGGGATAAGTGGATCCATTCCAATCTAACCCTAAAGTGAAGGGTACTTGTTTTCCATCAATCAGCTCCATCTATCTATCCATCAGCTCTTCCTCTGTCCTTTCACCCCCTCCATTACCTTCATTCCTCCACTCTGCTCTCCCCTTCACTTCCCTCCTATTATTTCCACCCCTCTCGCTCCACACCCGTCCCCATTGTCTCCCCTTTTATTTTATTCTTCTCTCTCATTATTTTTTTTTATCCTCCACCCCTTGCCGTCCCCCCCTTTGCCTTCCTCTCTGCCCTCCGTACAGCCACCCATCCGTCCCACCATCCATTCAGCCTTCCTTACATGTATTGATTTCCTCAGCCATCCCTGCCTCTTCTTTCTCCTCCCCTGTCCCTTCCAGAGACTTTCTCTTGTTAAAAAGCAGCACAGGTCAGAAATTGCCCAGCTAGTAACGCGCCGTGGCTTTGTTTTCCTCTTCCTTTCACACAGCTACAAACACTTTGAGTTGAAACACACACACACACACACACACAGCTGATTTATGGCTGCTGTCCCTGGGCTGTGTTGTTGGTTCGGAAGCTAATTACATTCTATTTAGCAGAGCGTCAGCGGAGGGAGATACAGGCAGAGGCAGAGAGTGATGGTGTGTGTGTCGGAGTGTGTTTGTGCGTGGTGTGGGAGGTCAGTTAGACTGGCACGGACACAAGAGTGGCTTTTCTGACATTATCTATCGACATGTACACACGGCGCGCAATTGACACACTTCTCGCCGCCTATTAAGACACCACGGTGGAAACCTGCACAGTCACACACAAGCCAGAATTATTAAGCAGTAATCCACTGAGTTATAATGGCCACAAGGTTCTTTTGACTCCTGAAAATACACGATACTGGTTTTTATGCTGCACATAAGCGAGCTGGTCATTTGCCTGAAGGATATGTGCAGTGAAAAGCAGCAGCATTACACCTTGTAAAATGTCTTTCCGCTTTAAATTCGACATAAACTCACAATGCAAGGTGGGAAATTGATGTTTGCAAGCTGCCACTGCTCAAAGGAATGGAAAGAAATGCTGATGATGAAAACACTGAGTCCACTTGAGGAGCAAATGAGCCTCTTCCTCCATAGGTCAAGATCAAAAACAAGCACTTTTCAATTACTGTTAAATGACACATGACTAAATAAAAGAACAAATATCTCGATTAGGTAATTTGTTGGCCACTGACCACCTATTAAATCATCAACCCACCATCATAGTGGGTGCCTAATTGGTGACCAATTATCATTTGATGGAAAATTTCTTTTTAAAGAAGAAGCAGCACAGTAGCTCAGCAGGAGCAAAAAAAAAAAAGAGGCAGCCACCCCCCGATGTCACTGCCATCCTCCATCCAAAATAACAATGCCTTCCCAATTCAACAATTCACACGGGACCTATTCATTTACTCAGCAACCCCCAGCAACACACACACACACACACACGTACTCGCACACAGCCAGCCAAATCCCCAAAGATCCAATCCTCGGAGCATGCGGTAAAAAAAAAAAATTCCTGCACTGATAGGAACTCCCTTCCCCCAGTGAGTAAGAGCGTGCACACACACACAACGGCGTGTCTCTATCCTCCAGCCCAGCGTCCCCAGAGGGCCACTGCAGCACAAGGAAGATGTAGCGCTACTGTACGAGCGTGACATATTCACAGACAGATTGGTACTAATGAAAGATATTACTCACATGCACATTAGCAAGAGGTAAAGGAAAGGTCAGCGTGGAAACTGAGAAATTGTTGGAAAAATGAGGAGGAGAGGTATAAAAGAACATGCTATGAATGCGTGGGAGAAAAGAGGAGAGCACAAGAGAAGGCAATTAAACGAGAACGGGAGAGGAGAATGAAGCGGGAGGTATGAGAGAGGGGATAGAAAGAGGAGGATGAGGAGAAAGAAAGGATGAGGGGGATCAGGTGAGAGGGGATGTGCACGGGGATTTTGCTGTGTGCACACTGCGAGCAAAAGGGAGATTTTGTGTGCGTGTGTGTGTGTGTGTGTGTGTGTGTGTGTGTGTGATAAGAGTGTCTGCATGCAGTGCACGTCTGAGAGTAAAGACCAAGGCAGGAATAGGATTTAGCAGCGCTGCATGGCTGCATCCTCTGACCATAAACACACACGTACACATCACCAAGAACAAGCCCAAATCCTGCGCAGACACAAATGGCAGGAAAATCCAGACGACCTGTGCGCACGAACAGCAGAAACAACAGACACACTAGCTGCCTTTCCGTATAATTATCGTTGGAAACTGACACTTAAGAGCCGGACACACGCCGAGACACACA